TCTTAGATTTGTAAATGAATGTAACATCTAAATTCTTTTAATTTGTAAATTTCCATATAAAAATCAATGGCAGCAATATACCCAATAAATAATATTTGAGTAGGGGCTGGGTGTAAGTATAAACACATTTGCCCATTTTTACAGCTAAAAGAAGTGTCCGACAAAACGACAATTCACACGTCCAAGGTCTAAAACTTCCGCTCGAGTACTTTTGCCTTCAGGTCTTTATGACGTGACAAAATCAAATGCCGAAAATCATAAAGCCATAAAATCGCACAATAGGCGAGTAGTTAAAGTCTTAAATCTTTACGGGCAATAAATTTTCACACCTGATTTTACATCGCAAAGTTCCGTTTTCGATTTTTACTGCTTTAAATGCAATCGAATTGCAAATACGCTTAAATTACACAATTGGCAACTATGTTGACGCAGTTGGCAATTAACAGTTACAATTTCCATTTGTTATGTCTTGCATTTATTTATAAGAAGAAGAAATATGTTGGCCTGCATATTCATTAACGTAGCAGTCGCATCTTTCATATAAGGTCGCACTCACTTGATTGGATTTATATTTTGTTTCTGGCTGTGGGTGGTATGAATGCGATGTGTGTTGTGTATGTATGTGTGTTGTGTGTGTGTGTGTGTGTGAGCGCGCGTGTTTATGTGCGTGTGTATGGATGTGGCATTATTGTGTAGTCTCAATTATGATCTCGTGCGTATCCAGATCGGGCACCGAAAACTTCATCGGCAAGTAGTCGTCCGCATGCATATGAGACATTTGATTAACCTCTAGCTGGGTGCGTTCATGTTCCTCATGGCACTTGCCCTCGTGCTTCTCATAATCCCCAAACGTTTCAAAAATGGCACGACAGATCATGCACTCAAAGAAGCTACTGCAAAGATTAAGTAATTGGGATGTTAGGCAACCGGTGCAGTGGTCAAATGGGAAGCTGGTCTTACGGTTTCTGCTCGGCCTCTAGACGCTCCCTCGCCAAAGCCGTAGCCGCCTGTATTGCACCGGGCACATCCACATCGACGCCTTCCTTTATGTGTGACTGCAGATGCCGCTTAAAATTGGAGAGCTGGGTGAAGCCTTTTTCACAGTAGTTGCACTGATAAGGCTTGGCATTCAAATGACCCAGCTTGTGCTTCTTGAGGTTGACCAGTTGCGAGAAGTAGCGGCCACAACGCTGGCATCGAAACGGCTTCTCTCCGGTGTGTGTCATTTTGTGGCGTTTCATATTGCTTTGCTGGGTAAAGGATTTGTTGCAGAAGTTGCACTGATATGGACGCTCGCCGCTGTGTACGGCATAATGTCGCTGCAGGTTAACCGCCTGTGCAAAGGCCTTGGAGCAGATGTTGCACACAAACGGCCGCACATCGTTGTGCACCTTCATGTGCCGATCCAGATTGCCACTGTTGCAAAAACTCTTGGCGCACAATTTGCACTCATAGGTAGTTTTGTTATGGTTGTGCACCTCCTGTCGATGGAGCGTCTGATCGCGTTTACTTGTAAACATCTGCGGGCAATATTAAATATTTGTAAATAAGTTGTTTATTCGCCAAGGCGAGTGAAACCTACTCGGTCGCAACGTTTGCAGCTAAACTGATTGACCACAATCTTATCGAATTCCACCGGGATGCCCGCCATTTTTGGCGCTGCTACAACATCGATCCGGTGCGGTTTTATATCCTGAATCGTACTTATTGGAAATAACAGATCCATATAGAGTACAAGTGCACTAAAACTTACTTTGATTTGCCTAATTTCTATATAATTTTTTCGCGTCTTGTAGAAAAGTCATATGGTAGTAGAGATGAGAGCTAGATATCAATATATCGTTTTATCTGCATAGTGCACACGGATTTCCATGAATTATATATCGATGTTCTGCGATATATCGACTGAAACACTTCAAGATAATATTTTGATTTCATGAATAAATAGGTTTACTTTTTCAGCTGATTTATGCTACAAATAATGACTTATATTGAATGAAACTATAAAAACTTGTAGTCGTAAACAATTTTGGAATTTATGATTATTTTGACAATAATGAACTATCGTATTTACAAAAATGTGACTATCGCTTGCTTCAAAAATCAACGTCTTCAGATTCAAAGAAGAAGAACATACATTTTTGCCGCCATACTCAAATTTTAAAATATCTCACAATCAACAATTTGCAAGACTTCACAAATACTTATAATACATCTCCAATACAATGCTATAATATCTAATAATTCAATTTATGTTATGCATGACAGTGATGTAACCCATCGATAGGTGTGTAGCGTAACCTTCACAATGTATCATTCTTGTGAAATAACTTTTTAATGATGCAACACGATATATAGTGGGAAAATATAGACACATTTGACTCCATTAGTTATTATCAGTAACTTATACAATTTTATGTATAGTATTTGTTTGTTTTCATGCTCTAGAGTTGTGACCGTAACAAAATAAGTAATATATAAGTTTATGCAACAGCTGTTCTGTTACGACTCGGTTAGTTAGCAGATGTTAAAATCAACTTCCAATCATATTTACCGTTTTCGGCCAAAAGTGACGCCGGATTAAAAAATTGTCTTACATCAGATCACTATTTATATAATTTTCTATATAATTGCATTTACCAAGTCTACGTTATATAACTCAAAAAACAATAACGCCAGCTTTTCCAGGAAAATTAGTTTGCTCTGTTAATAGCATTAAGGCAACTGTTAATGTTTTTAGGGTGCCCACATATGCCGTTTAGTGTTGATTTGGAGCTAAAAATCAAGAAGAAGCATAATTAAGAAGGAACACAACTCCTTGCACACACAAATGCAGAGATAACTAAGAATTTGTATTGTTTTGTGAGTAAGAGACGTACCAAGTGCAATGGCCACCTATTCCAACCAGCACTGGCTTCTCTCGCACATACGCAACTCATTCATTTCCACGGATGACACGGGCATATGCGAGACCGTAATGCTGAGCGACGATATGCCGAAGCATTATCTGAGGAAATTTCAAGCTGCCTCAATTATGGATGTCTATAGGCGTAGCCACCGCAGCCAGGCATCACAGCAGCGCAAGTCGATGCCCAAAACTCCAGATACTGCCACGCCTACGCAACGGTCTGCGCCACTGCAGCACATGATGCCACCCAGAATAGCGGATCCGCCGCTGCAGGAAGTAGACTTTGTCTGCTATCCTGGTCTAGATCTGAGCGATGATGAGGATCTGGACATGTCCACGCACTCTTTCGACATTCAAATGTATCCCGAAGTGGGCGCCCATCGATTTCGCTCGAACACAGCACAGAAGCTGGAGAAATTGGACATAGCGAAGCGCAAGGCGGCGCGCATTAAAAGTGTTAACTACAATGAGGAGGTATTGCCACCGGACCGCAAGGATTTCTTTAAGCGCAAAGAGGTTAAAGAGCAACCCAGAGAAAAACCCTCCACTTCAAAAACAACTGCAGCAAATGTGAAGCGTCCGGAAAAAAACAGCGATGACGACCTCTCTGATGAGGGTGTTAAGAGCATGCTGACGGAACAGCTAGCCAGAAGCCCCAAACAGACGCAAAATCGTTTCATTGAATACGCTCGCTTTGATGGCACCGCCCAGGTGGGCATGCCCACAAAGCGCATCAATGTCTATGTAAATATGCTGCCCGAGCCGGAGCGCAATTATCCGCTCAAAATCTGTGTACTCTCCACGGCAAAGATCATTGAGGTGATTGGCCTGGTCTGCTACAAAACTACCCTACAGTATCCAGATGCAGTGCAGCTCAAGTCTGTGCAGCACTATGCATTATATATGACGGAGGATAACGATGATATGGATGATTTTCCGCCGCTGGACAATCGGGAGCCTTGTTCCAAATTTGGATTCTCGCATTTGACGTTGGCCGAACGCCGACCGCTGGCGCCGGTCACGCGCATTGACTATCACAATCAGTTGGGCACCAAGTCTATGACTTCAGAGGAGGACAAGGTGGCGATGGCGGATGCTGCAGTGCGTGCGCTGCAGAACATCAATTTGAATGGAGACGTGCCCGACGCCGGCGGGGGAGATGGCGGCGGCGAAAGCCCCCTAGACCATGTTAAAGAGTATGAGCAACGCCTGCTTAACCACAATGATATGCTGGAAGCGCCAATGCATCGGACCTATCGTGTCAGCATCATCGACAAACGTTTCTTCAAGTGCGACGTAACGCTGGCCGTATCCGGGGAACGCATCGAGATAGATCAGCATAAGAATACCAAATTCTGGACGCAACGGAAGCCGGTGTCTACGCCCATCGATATGGTGGCGCACTGCGAGATTGTGGAGCAACGGCAACTAAAGGCACTGCTGCGTATTTGGCTGAAATCCAACTCTTCCAGCAGTATGACTACCAGCTGCACCTCGGCACCCAGTACTGCCAGCATTGCCACGCTGATCCCGGGCAGCGGCAGTGTGGGCCTTATTCATTCGCCCGCCAGTCCCCGTCATCAGGCAACGCACAGCTCCAGTTCGCCCTTTGGCCTCTTTGGCAGCGCGTCCAACATTCGATTTAAGCATTACGACTTCGATACGGACGTGCACACGGCCGAACAGATACGCAACAAACTGAACTGCATTCTGGAGATGCGCGCCAGCGATATACGACGCGAGTTTCTGCAGCAGCGCGAACGAAAACAGGAGAAACAGCTGGCCAAGCGCCAGCTTAAGTTGTAGTATTTTGTTCCTAAGCTGGCCATGCTGCGCCTCGCCTCGAGCTGCTTGTGTGCCGCCTAGCGTGCAGTGGACGTAACTCTGAGGCCATCCTTGTCTGTCGCCGGCTAATCAACTCCAATTTCCCATCCCCGCCCCGCTCCCTCCAACCCGTTGAAGTTGTATTTTAGTTGCTAACCTAAAGAGCGTGTGTAACACACGTTTCGCATAGCCTATAAGTATTTATTCAAACACTTAAGTAACTAAAAACAAATCCGAAGTGCAAAATGAAAAATAAATAGCATCAAAGTTCACAATTATGCTGAAAGACAAACTGTGCTATCAGCTTCCACTTTATTACTGTAAATTGTGTAATATTAGCAACAACAATAGGCACACACTGACACTGATTCTCTCGCCTTCGCCTTTAGCTGCACTTGTTCCCCAGCCGTACTTGCGAGCATGCTGTGTAGCCTGAAAAGTGCAATGGGTTATTCACATAAGAATCAACGCTGATTGTTGGCAGGCAAATCATATCCAAAGTACCTTTAGGATCAGCAGCGTCGTTCGTTATATTAGCAACAACAATAGGCAACACACTGCCAGCGATTCTCTCACCTTCGCCTCTGGGCTGCACTTGACCACCCAGCAGAACTCGCGGACATGACAGCAGCATCGTTTAATAGTGATCGTTAGCAGCGTTATGAATGCCTATGTACATTGTAAAAAGTTCTGCTGGGTGGTGTCGCTCTCTTTCTCTTTCGCTCTTCCTCCCTTCCTGTCTTTCTGCCGTACAAACGCGCACTCGGACTACTTCCGCATTCGCGGCTTCAATTGTAGGCGGCTGGCGCGCGACTTTGAAGCGTTTTACTGGCGTTTTGTGCGCGATTAGCGTTTTGTATTTCCGTTTGGCGCGGCTCGTTGACATTGCAATTGTCTGTAATCAATGTGCAATTAATCTAACAGACCCCCAGACGGGGCCAGGCCGAGCTAACGGGTATTTTGTTATTGCTATTGTACTCATAAGTATGTTTTGTCGTTAGACTTGTGTTTTATTTATAGTCTTGCAATGTCAGGCAGAATCTCTGTGAATGGGCGGGCGGTACCTAGGGGCGGCGACAGCTGTTAAGCTTATTAATAGCTGCTTTTACATAGTGCCGTTATAATTATGATAGATCTGTGTGAACAGACCAATAAGATATATAACGATAAGTCATGAAACGTTTGTTTTCGTTTCGTTCTATGTAAGGCCAAGGCTGCTAACAAAACAAAAGCTCACAATTGCGACTTCACTGGCAACAATTGACATTTGAGGTCAGCAGTGCTAAAGGCGTTGATGATGATGCCGATGCCGATGCTAATGATGATGATGATGATCATGATGATGCTGCTAACTGGCGTGACTATATAAAGTCAGCGCAAACAAGTTCATCGAATGAATCACAATACACAATGATTGATATCGATATGAAAACGAAATTGAAAATTTGGTTGTATTTTAGAAATCTGTACATCTGTACTCAATTCCAAAACTTCTGACGCTGTCGATTCGTCTCAAAAAGGCTGCCCTTAAGCGTTGTATTAATGCCGTAAGTTGTATTCGGCTTATAGAAGAGTATAGAAAGCGTAAAATCCATCTCGGGCATAAAAGCTGGAAACTGATCCACACCAGATATGTTATGGAAATACAGCAGGCCCTGTAAGACGTAGGCGTAGGCATTAATTAGGCACAACTTTAATCAAATCTCCTTTCATACCTCACTGATGGGACACACTTTTGCCAGATTGCTGTTTCTGATCATGTTCTGATAGACGAGGTACGCCAGTTTATTACACATGACGCCATCACGCAGCACCTTGCAGGCATCAAATGCTGAATCGAATAGCACCATTTCGGTCTTTTGAATTGGGCGTGGCACCACCAGCTTATACTTAACCCACACGTCTTTAATGGGCTCAGTCACCTGGATGTCGGAGCTCAGGTTGCCATCGTCCTGAATGCGACAGCTGAAGTTGCTGATAATGGGCCACAAGTTCACGCAATCAAAGCTGGACCACTTCAGCACGTAGCGCGATCGCTAAAACCCGGCAACAAGCTTAAAACAGTTAACAGTTAAAACAGGTGCCTCTTGAGGGGACTTACGCGTACTGCGTGTACAGATGACCAATTGGCCAGAAGCCAGAGGATAACTAAGAAGCGACTCCGACAGATTTCGTTCATGTCCATTTGGAAACTGAACGGGCATTTAATGTTTTCGGCTACTTGTTGTAATAAATGCGACTAGCATAACGATCGAAATATCATCAGTTATGCTTAAATGAATATGCGAACGGGCGAAAACAGTTGGATTTTAATTATGTATTTTTTCGTGCCACGTGACGTATGCGTAATAAATGCGATCTATTTTGTCACTGCCTTTTTTTCAACTGATTTGTGCAACTGATTAAGGATCACTATATATGGCATATTTATGCCTTGTCCGTGCCCATGATTTATGCCTTGACGGCTGCTGCTGCTGCTCCACCTCCGAAACTGGCAAAGGAAAAACAAAAAAAAAAGAAACGGAGACAAAACCCCAATTCAAATATCACATGCAATTTGTCAAATTGCGTTGCGGGTTCAATGATTTTTTTTCTGATTTTCTTGATCTCTGCAAATGCGAAAATATTCATTGCGAATAGAATTTATTATTAGCAAGTGCAGTCAGCGTCGACAAATTACCTTCAATATTTTCTGTGCTCGTTGTTTTAGTTGTTCTTTTTTTTTCATTTATTTATTTTTTTTTTTTCTGCTGTTAATGAACTAAATTTGCGTTCGCTTTTGTGGGCGTCATTTTGTAACACATTTTGAATTTCACTTGGGCGTGCCACTTGTGGTGCCGCTCTAAATACTATTATCAGCTAATTTACTTAAGAACAGACCCACAAATATGTGCATATAAATGCGTTTGTATCTATGTGTATCAGTGTGCATGTGTGTGTGTGTGTGTGTGTGTGTGGGCTACAAGGATGCGTGTTGCAGCAGACGAGACATTGTCGCTAGAGCTAATTGAAAGTCAATAAATGCTATGAAAATTAATTAAAAATGCACACAATTGCAACCTTGACATTGAAATCGAATGACAGACAACAAACATAATAACAGAAGCAACAACAACAACAACAACAACAACAACTATGAAAAGTTCACGTATGAAAGTTGCCAGCGTGTTGGCTGTCGGGCTGACGGGCTGTCGGGGCGGGACTGGGACAAACTTGGCACGCATTGTGAGCGGATTTTCACTGCAAAACAGCAGCAGCAGCAGCAACAACAACAACAAGAACAACCAGAATATTAGCAAAAGCAACAACAACAACAAGAACAGCAACAATGTTGTTGTATTGTAAAAAGTGAGCGGCATAGCAAACAGTTTGCCGGTCCGTTTCTCAATTTATCAAATGCATAAAATAATAGGCCTAGGCGCATAATTTAATGTCGCGATTTTAGAAGGCCGCACGGGCTTCTATGCATATGCAGATTAATCACGATGCAACAACAACAACAATTGTGGCATGTGGCATGTGTCACGCAAAACAACCGGACAATGCAAATCTAAAGTTGATGCACCCGATAAAGCTAACCCCAACAAGACTAGAAGTATAATATTTAAACGTTTTTTTTCAGAGATAACAACTATAGTTCTTAGTTTTGAATGATTCATGACTTTTGTTCAACTTTACATTGAACTTGTCCTTACTTCGGTTTTTTGTTTTCGTCCGACGAACACTTCTAGTAATTTCCGTTGCTTTTAAATTGCGTTTCTATAGAAATCTTGCGTGCAATTGGAATGTAAATAGCTTAATTGCTTTACGCTACAAATCAAATAAACAATAGCGATGTGGGTAAGGTTTAGCTAAGCAATAATTTAATTAAATTGTTATTATTATTAATGGAACTGTTTTGAAGTATTGTACTTTTAAAGCATAACTGAGTAAATGCTTAATTAAATAAATGTTCATTAAATATTTATAAAATTAATTTAATTTAATGCATAAAATTTGTAACCAATTAGATTAAGAGATTGGGGTAAAAGAAACTATTATAATTTTTTAAATAATGCTTGAGTTGATGAAAATTGCAATTTGCAAAAAAACACTTCAAAATGAAGGTTAAACCTAATGAGACATACTTTAATGTACTTTTGCTCGAGAAAATATCAAAAAAATGCACAAATGGGCAGCACTTTTCATTGCAGTACTGGCGCGATTTCGCAATTTGGTAACACTTTTATTTAAAACTGTCAGCCCATAAATGTTAAGAGTTTAAAGTGCCTGAAATGTGCTTTACATTATTGCCATGTCTTTCATTATGGCCATAACATTTTGCACATACCGAGACCAACCCACACACACGCAGACTCTGTGCGTTGTTACCGCAGCACGCACCAAGCAGCCAGCGTGGCCAGTCCCAGTCGCAGTCGCAGTCAGTCAGTCTCTTGGAGCCATTCACAAAACGTTTGCGGTCCCAAAATGTGATTTTAATTGCACAACAATTTTCAGTTGGCTTTTAAATGCGAGCCGGGCCCAGTTCTACATAGGCCTAAAGCGTGTTTTATGGGGCTGTTCTCGCACTGCCCGCTTGACATATGTAACCCAATTCTGTCGCAGACTGTGAGAGTGAGAGCGAGTGAGAGAGAGAGCGAGAGAGCGAGAGAGAGGGCGGGCAGAAAAGAAAGAGAACGTATGAGAGGCGTTGCACTTGCAATTTTTCAACATAATTGAACGGCGAACTTTTAATTAAAAGCGTTCTTTTAAAATAAATAAAATATGCGCACAAATATTCAACAGCAAAAAATATGTAACGCCAATTGTGGAGGTCAACTGCAGTCAGCCAACCCAAAGACGGAGACAGACAGACAAACAGACAGACAGACAACCTGTTCCACACACTCGGATCAATCTGCCAGGCCAGGCGGGCTGGCAGCGGCTTCCTGGCCAGTGTAAGCGCGCTTTCTGATTACAATACAATAAATTGTGCTTGGGGTCTGTCAAGGTTGCGATGTTGTCTGAGCTTCATTAATGAAGTGCCGAAACTTGGGCTCGTTGCCGGCACTGGCTGCGCCTGAGTCCGAGCACTTGCAACCACATTTAGCGGGCAACCGGTTCAAGTAGATGCCACCAGCAGCTTAGTCGCGCTTAATGCAGGTGGTGATTGCAACTTGTGGCCAGACAAAAGGCGCTCAGCTTCAAGGCTGCAATGCCCTTGGCTGACAAACCGAGTCGGGCAACAGGCTCCTCCGAACTGAACCTGTTTGCACACTCTGCACAGGCAAAAGGTTCTGGGTTATGCAACAATCCCTGTTTCTAGCCGCTGTTCTCATGACCCAATTTTCAGACAGGCGTACCTAAAATTGGCAAACGTCTGTCATTTAATTTAAGCATCATAAATCGCATAATCCAAAAGGACTTAATGCCCTTTGGGAAATGTTAAATATGGCTTTAAGTTAAGCCACAAATTACAACGCGGCAGCTGTTGGGCTCAGCAACAATTTGTGCCTGCCACATGGACAATAAGTGTGCTACCACGTTTCTCTGCTTTTAACATTGAACTTGGGGTGAACAGCGTCAAGTTTAATATTTTATTTATATTTATTAAATCGTTTTTCTTTTTTTTTGGGTGCTGTCGTGCTTACGTTAGCCAGTTGCCAGCTGGGGCCCAGCCATTGCCTCACGACGTTAACTGTCATGCAATCTAATGAGGTGATTCACATATTGCGGAAAAATATTGGTATAAATAATATAAATAGCATAAAATAAAATATAGTATGCCTATAAATTATGTAAGTACCTATATGACAAAAAATAAATTGATATGCAAGCGAATACCTAAAAACATGTTAAGGAGCTATCCACATAAACGTTACAAATAAGATCTAGTTGGGCATGGCCGACTAGCAGATACCCTAAGCACCCTTTAGTAAAGTTTAAACAACTTCCCAGTAGCAGTTTAATTCGAAATGTGATACGTGTCAGTTTTGTTTAAGTGTATGGACCTCGGTTCCTAGTTCTTTCCTTTTCTCAATATCTGATTTATATTTGTGGCACTTGCCATTTGAGAAAAGAAACACCTTTGATATACTCGACGCAGATCCATCCCAATCCAAAAGGTTTATTTTATGGCTGCTGTAATTATAAATACATCAACATTAATTAGGATATATTTTTAAGACGAACTCTTTGTCCATAAAAAAACTCGTTTATCGATTGTTTTGCTTTCGTGTAAGCTGTTAAATTTAATTATTCGCTGCAGTTCGATGTACTTTTCAAATAACAATATTTACAATTGTTTTTTGTGTAATACTCTCAAAAAGTTTTAACATTTTGGCAAGAGTTCTGCTCACTTTCTTAATCATCAGCATATTGGGTTATTTCTATATTGTTTATTCGATTCGATACCTTTGGGAATTTCCTACACAATCTTTGTTAATTTATACATTTTTACTAAACAAACTGGTAACCAGCTTGTGGCGCAGCTTCAGCTACCACCTACCTCAATGCGAACAATTCGATGCGATTTGATTTGTTTCGCTTTGCGTAGGCTCAAGTGTACAATTCCCAAAAACATAATTTTTGTTGTACGCGCGACGCGTGCAAAATGTCAACAGAAGGACAAACAACAGCAGAAATTAGAGTGTAAAGCTGCTGCAACAACAACAACAACAGCAGTAATAGCAATAAGTAATAATAATTATAATGCTCCGAGCGCTGATCATAAGCAGATCGACAACGACAGCGCCTGGATGACCCTGGGCTATAGCAGCAGCTCCAGCAGAGTGTAGGCATAGCAACAACAGCAACAACAATAACAGCATGTGTGCAAAAAGTAAATAAATGTTAAATAAAAGCAAATAAATGCGTGAACAATAACAAACATGGCCAACAATGCAGCGACTGCGCGTACTTAAAGCCTAAAGTGCCTTTAAGAGCCAATTGTTACTTATTATTTGTCCCACAAACGGGCACCTGACTAGGCCAGAAATTTGGCTTTGAGTAGCTCTGACCTATCCCAACAGATACGAGAAAACGAAAAATAAAACACAATTTGCCAACTTCCTGGTTAGATGGCGAGCTTTGCTGCAGATTAATCTTTCTATGGTACATTTTGATTGACACGCCCTTTTATCTTAATATAATTTTACTTATTTTTGGAGGCTGCCAACAAATTACAAAAAATCATAATATATTATGGTTTTGAATTTATTTTTGATTTCTAAATAAATAAATCATTTGTTTTGTTTTGCTAGCAAATGTTGTTTTTTTTTTTTTTGTTTTGCGGCTATTGTTGTTGTGTCTTTTACCGCAAGGTTATTTTGCCATTGTATTATGTGCACTTGTTGTTGTTGTTGTTGTTTGAGTGTTTCTTAAAAATCATAATTTACTTGTTGGCAAATCAAATTGTATGACTACTCGAAATCAAATGGTCCGCAAATGCCTGTCGTCAATTGCCAATTAATGGACAGCTGACCTTAACGAGCTGCTAGCCGAACTCACATTAGGCATACGCCCCATTAGCCCAATTGGGTAAAAGAGTTCTTTGTGCTACCCGCATACGTACATGGATGTGCGTAATTGGATTGTAAATGTGTGTCAACACTTAAGATTGTATAATTTTATCAGTGCATTGAATAAACAAAAGCGACGTTGCAACCACTGATGCAACCACGCCGACAGCGTTTCATAAATGCCCGCCTGCCACTAAAGGGATTAGAATGCAATGGTGCCCCATAACATAATAACATAACGAGTAGGCAGCTCGCATGACGCAATTTGAGGCGCCTCTGAAAACGCTTTTGAACTTGCACTTGACATTCAACTGGCAGCTGGTGGCGGGGAGAGGAGGGGGGTTTCGCTGATGCCACAATGGATTTGCCTCTGAGCAGCTGTTTTGTAATGAGTTAACGGGAATCGAGCTAATAGAACGACGTCGTTAAAATATTAAATTGCCAAATGGCAAATGCATAGTTAAACAAATTACTGACCTTGTTGCAAAATCAATTTATGAAAGTAGAAAACCAACATGTGTACATTTATTTTAATAATCTATAAAATATATGCGACTTATGCAAAACAAAAAATAATTTATGAAAAATAAAATTAGTTGAATACAAATTTATATAAAATATGATGTATAATATTATATATATTATTATTAATTTATTATTCTTATATTATTAGGCAATTTATTTATTCCATTTTCTAGTTTTTCTGTTAAGACTTCCTCTGCGTAGACGGAACTTCTTGACGCAGCCCAGTTGAGCTGACTAGATGCATACTCCATTAGTGCCTGCTCATTTCCTAACCCTCAACGAATTGTCATTGTTGCGGCGTTTCCTGCTTCCCCATAGATAAATTTTAACATGCTGGACTTGCATGCTGCATTGCAATTTGTTTGACGGCAAATTGGATGCAACAAGGTCGCCCATCGACAACAACAATAACAATCAGAGAGGCAAAACTAAATCAACTGAAGCACTTTCCCAATTTTCGCGCAGCGAGACGGGGCGTCGCGGCGAACGTTGCGTATGAGCAATGCGAGCATTTCGTGATCGTTCGCTGTGCTCAATGCAAACTGGCTGCGAGAAAAGAAACAAAAAGAAAAAAAAAACATTAAATTTGCAAATAAATAAATCGGAAGCACCTCGCAGTATGTGTGTATCTGTATCTGTATCTGTAGCTGTATCTTGCCAGAACAATTTATAAGAAATAAAATTCAAAAAATATATAACAACAACAGGCTGACAAATGCACTAAGCGAATGTTGTTGCTGCTGCTGTTGTTGTTGTTGTTGTTGCCAACGCAACAAGTTTCGTGTGCGGCTGCTGCTGCTGCTGTTGCTCTGCTGCTGCTCTGCTGCTGCTGCTGCTGCTGCTGCTGTTGCTCAGTTGCCAATAAGTTGTTGCCGCTGGCTGCGCAGTCGGCGCAGCTGTCTCTCTGTGTTGTTAGTGTTGTTGTTATCGGTTGTTTCGTGCGTACTTGGACCGCTCAATAACGCCGCTCGACGCGATTGTCGCTGCTGCTGCTGCTGCTGGCGTCGCTGCCGCCGGCAGTTGCGCTGTAAGCACAGCAACAGCGACAACAACAACAACAGCAACAACATGAAAAATACAAAAATTAAACGAAAGCAGAGGGTATTTAACCGACCTCAAATCAATTTGCAATTTCAGTCTATCTCCGCGTTGCAGCGTTGCATGAACTCGCGTACAAAACGGATCGATATTTAACGGCAACAACTACAACAAATACCTGGCAAACACCCTAAAGACAACGGAAATAATTAAGAAACTCGCACGGGCAACTGAACTGAACAAACGGAATAACAACAAATTATAAATACAGCAACAACAACATAAAGCAAAATAAAAAAAAAACCCCCAAATGCATACGAAATTGTAAATTTGAAATTTTATAACAATTTATTTAACAAGAAAAACAATAACAACAAATTGTTGTGGTGCCGTTTTTAACGACTATCAAATGGTGTCGGTGTCAAGCGCGGCCTAGAAAACAAAAACCAGCGAAACACTTGCCCCCGCCCCCGGCCGTGTCTTACCTATAAAAAATAAACCATATTCAGACAGAATTCCAAGCACGTTTAACGCAGGCTGCAGAATTACGCAAAATAAACCCAACGAGCAACAACAACAAACAGCTGACGTTCATTGAACGCCCAAAGTTGAGCGTAAATGCACACAGTGACTGCCAAATGTAAGTGCACCACAGACAGCAGCAGTTGGAGCTGAACTTGAAAGTGAAAGTGAAATTTGCCCCAGACAAAAGCAGGCGGCAGCTCAAGCGCTTATAGATAGAGATACATAGACACAGAGAGGCAGATACAAATACAGTAACAGAGACAGATACATTTACAAATACAGATACAATTGTTGCTGCCGATAGAAATTGGAGCTTTGAGCGATAATACAATTTTTCAGCAGCTTTTGCTGGAGTGCCCAGTGCTCAGAGCATCAGCCAACGTTCCAGGATGAGCGAACAGGATCAGGCTACATCCAGCCGCAGGCCCAGCAGCTACGAGGTCAAGGTGCCGCAGGGACACACCTTTGTTGTCAGCCCCGTGGTGGCCAGCCCCATACTGACAGCGGTGCCCGTTATGAAGCCCGCGACGCCGCCAACGACTCAGCTGGCGGAGGAGGCGGAGCTGGAGGAGCAGCCTTGCTGCAGCTCACAGGCTGTGGTGCCATTGTCCTCTTCGCTGCCGTCAAAGCTGCTGCGTTTGCATGCTAAACGCTCGGCGCAGGCGCTGCTGCATCAGATGGAATCGCTAGATTCGCAGTTTGGTTCCGGATCCGAGGATGCACCAAACAGTCCAAGTGCGCCGCCTATGTCTCCGTCGACGCTGTCGACGCCCAGCGATGATAAGCATCTGGATGTGGGCATGGGCTCGTCAATAGGCGACTCTGAGGAGTCCGAGGAGGATGATGAGCTCAAGCCGCTGGCAGTGGACAATCACATCATAAACGAGCCGGAATTGAGTGAGGGTCAGGCGTCGCCACCAGCTGTGCCGCTTAGCGAGGCCAATCTAGAGAAGTTTCGCAAGCATCACATGGACAACATCTATTTGCATCCCAACTTCAGTTTGGATGCCTCGCCACCACCCGCCGTGGCGCCAGCTAATTCGCCTGTAATGGAAACGCGTCGTGTGCATCGCTCGTTCCTCAGCCTAAAGAAGCCTGCCGAGGAAGAGCCGCAAGCGCCGCCGCCGCCGCCGCAGACAGCCCACGCGGAGCAGCCAGTGGAGCTGGCCAATGAAATAGACACGCTGGAGCCGGCGCTGGTGCCAAGCGATGAGCTGGCCGCGGAAATAGCCGAGGCCGTTGAGTTCTATTTCTCCAACGAGAGCATTCTCAAGGATGCCTTTCTGCTCAAGCACGTGCGCCGCAATAAGGAGGGCTTTGTCAGCCTCAAGCTGGTGTCCAGCTTCAAGCGCGTGCGCCAGCTGACCCGCGAGTGGAAGGTGGTCGGCGATGCTGTACGCCGCAAATCGCGCAAGATCGAGCTGAACGAGCAGGGCACCAAGGTGCGACGTCTGGAACCGTTGCCCAGCTTTGATGAGACCATGCCCTCGCGCACTATTGTGGCCTGCGATCTGCCGCTGGACAAGCTGAGCATTGAGAAGGTCTCCGACCTGTTCTCCAAGTGCGGCGAGATTGCCCTCATACGCATACTCAAACCGGGCATGGCCATACCCGTGGATGTACGCCAGTTTATGAACAAGTATCCGGAGCTGCAGCAGAAGGAATGCGCCCTGGTTGAGTATCTGGAATCGTCTTCGGCACGCGATGCACTCCATCTGGACGGACCGTTCCAGGTGTACGAGATGGTGGCGCCCAAGAAGAAGACGGGCAAGAAGGCGGCCGTTATCCAGCTGGCCGCACCCGTTGCTCGCATGGTGGAGAACTATCGCTACTACAACGACGCTAATTGCGAGCGCACGCGTGGCGGCAGCTTTTCCGGCATGCCCAGCCATGAGCCGCTGCATGATCTGCGCTTCAAGCTGAAGCGCAACAACTCCGACTTCCAGCCGACCTACTATCACCAGCAGCAGCAGCAGCAGGCATATCACCACCAAGCAGCTGCCTATCATGGCCATGGACATGGCTATCAGCACTATCAGCCACGTGGCAGCATTGGCTTGGAGCAGCAGTCGCAGTCGCCGGGTTTTTTCGGCTATGTGCCCAGGCGTTACAGCAATACGTCCACCATCTCGGCCAATACGGCGGCTGCCTTGGGCGAGCCCTCAACGCCGCCTTCTGCTGTCGCCGCGAATAGCAGCAGCAATGTTAATCCAATGCCTGTGGCACCGGTGAGCAGCCTGCAGCGTCGCCTGTCCAACTGCTCAGAGCAGAACTATGCTCCGGACACAGCGGGTCTCTCCATGTCGCGTCGCGTGAGCAACTGCTCGGAGACGGGCGCACCGCAGCGTCGCGATTCCAACTGCTCGGAGAGCTGCCCGTGCTCTAGACGCGTCTCCGACTTTGGCCAGTCGGAGACGTATCGCAAGAGCTCCGTCTGCTCCAATGGCAGCTGCCCGGGCAATGGCGAACGGCGCTACTCTAATGGCTCCATGCAGTTCGAGCGCAGCTTCTCCAATGCCAGTGAAGGCAACGGCTTCTATCGCCGCCCCTCTAACGACTTTAATGTGGACCGCGAGCGCGAGCGTGATCGTGATCGTGAGCCCGATCAGCTGGTGGGCGGCGGCGGTGGTGGGTATCAGGTGTGGCCTCGTCGCTACTCCAACAATTTCCAGCAGCTGAGCAGCAAGCTGGCGGCCTACGACAATGCCCAGTACATTGGCGGGCGTCGCATCTCCACAGACTCCGGCTACGATCGCCGCTGCTCCTTTGGCTCCGAGGGCTTTGAAGGATCGCCGCGTTCCCGCACCGGCAGCTTCCTGAGCAACTACAAGCATGGCGGCGGCTCCGGCAGCGACTATGATGGGCAGCCGCGTTCGCGCACAGGCAGCTTTCTGGATGGCTCGCCGCGCTCCCGTTCCGGCTCGTTTGCTCAACGCGCCGCCGAGAGTCTGGTCCGCACGCCCATGGGACCCGATGGCAGCAAGGGTTTCGGGCAGCGTGCCCGCAAATTTGGCCAGACCATATCGCCCGTCAACTAGGACTGGCTCCAAAGGAATTGTTAACTAATTTTAGTGGGTACATTTTCTTAATCGATTTGTTTTTTTTTTTTGTGAAATTATTAATGGCTGTACACTGTGATGCTGTCCACCTGTCCAACAACCAGAACCAGAACCACAACCAGAACCACGACCATGCCAACGCCCACGCCCACGCTCCCAAGCCCAGCATAGGGCGTAAGCAAAGTTTAAGATACCACAACAAAAAGAACTTAACGAATTTGTATATCATAAGTTTTAACTAAATTAATTCAACCGGGTTGAGAGTAGAAAATGCGGCATTTCTCTTGCACTTGTCCCACTGTGCAGCTACTTATTTTTGATATCTAAAACCCTATAACTTAATGGAATGTTTGAGAAGAAGCAGCACTGCCAGTGATTAGTTTTAGCTTCGATTTCAGATGAAGAAATTTTAAAATTCACAAATATGAAAAACTACTGAGAGTTTCATAGAATGAGAAAGTTGTTCAATACAATTTTTAAATGATAAAAATATTTTAATTTTAGTTACGATTTTAGGTATAAGTATTATGAAGAAGTTATACGACAACTATAAAGTTGAAAATTTGAGCAAAAAACTTTGAGAGTTAGGAGTTAGTAAATGTAGAAAGTCAATTTAAATTCACTTTGATTATTATTTTATTTTTTCTGTTGCAAGTTTAGGCAATATAATAACTAGCGAAGGTCCATGGTTAAAACATGAACTAAGTTTACAGCTGCATCTGAAAAATACTTATGCTGATTGGAAAAAGTGTGCCGCTTAACATAACAAGAATTAAGGAACTTACTTAGAGTCTCAGGTTTATAGATTAGAATTAGTTTATAGTTTAGCAACAGGAATGCCACATTTTCTAGTTTTAACTAATTCTTTATTGTTTTTCTTTTGATTTCTTACATGTTTTTTGTTTGTTTTTATTTGTTTCTTTACTTTTGCCAATATTTTAGCTAGTTTAATAATTCATGTATGTTATAGGCTTAAGAAACTCGGTTGTCCTTGCGAGGAAACAACAAAACGGTTTATTACAGGAGAGAATAAAAATATTTTTCATTTTTAGCTTTTAATTTTCTTTTGTGCAAACATAAATGATAATTTATGTGTTTAAATAGGTGCCAATCAAATGTTAACTTAACTATTTTTATATGCATAACTCTATAAATATATTAAAATATTAATGTGCCTATTGTTAAACTCTGCAAATATATATATATATGTATATTAGAGTATTGTTTTCTTCTCCTATTATTGTTTAAGAGCTGAACTTGAAAGAGGCATCTACAAGGCTGGCCCTCAAAATGGCCCTACTCAAAATGTGTCCCACAAATAATGCCAACTCATGGTCTATGTGAAAGATTGCGCAATTGCCAAACTGAAGGCAAATATTCGCAGCCACTCGAGAACCGTTTGAGGCTCGAAGGTAACTAGGCCAACAAATCATACATAGATACAGATACAGACACAGTCACAGATACAGATATAGATACAGATACAAGCTGTGCTATGTGAAAGCGAAATTGTTTGGCTTGAAATTTTCAAACTCTGATTATCGATTCGCAAATGCGCATTTATGAGCTCAATATTAAATTTGTATTGTGACACACGATCCAAGCAAAATGCAAAATGTGTGCACGCGTGACGCATGCAACGCCAAGTCCAAGTATCTCGAGCCCCTCTCCACCCCTCCCCACGCTGCCCAGCCACGTTGCCAGCCTGCGGCTGAGACGCCCGTAATTGTTAATAAAGCGGCCGTTAGCATTGTTGGCCAGCTATTGGTATTTGTTTGCGGTTGTTGCTGTTGTTTTTTTAAAGCTGCAGTTGAAGTACTTATACTCTGGCACTCGGTATCTTAATCGTTGGCCGTGCGTGTGCGATTTTTTTGTGGTTCCAAGGTATTCGCATGTTTCATTTTTTGTTGTTTTTCGTTGTACTTTATTATTAAAATATTTCAATATCTCTTGCCTTTTTTTTGCGCTGCGCACGCATTGCGCCGCCCACTCCAAAAAAGCCAAAGAGTTGCGGCAAAAAAACAAAAACCGAACTCAACTCGAAACCCGTTTTTTAGCGCTGAACTAATTGTCGCACATTTCTCAAAGCGTGGGCAAAGGAGCTGTGCTCCAGCTTCATGGGTAAATTTACTACGAATGTATCTGTATAAAAGCCATGTATCTATGGGAAGCTGTGCGTGCCGCTTGCATAACTCTAATGTGGTTTAATCTGCAGCCAGATGGAGGCCCCCACATGTAATTTGCGTAGCCGCCGCTTGGGGCAGGCACGACTGAGGCGACGATTATGAGAGCTAATTGAAGATCAGCGCTATTCGATGGTGGGATACCATATTGGGCATATAACTTCCGGCTGAAGTACATTTAAGTATGGTCACTAAATTTAGCAGCTGAACGCAATTTATGCTAATTGTCGAATAAAACATTTCGAAAATGAAAGCAAACGCTGAGAAATGAAAGCTGAATGAGCAACCGGTTCGCGTTCGCATCTGATCAGAACAGAACCTCAAATTAATTAAATGTAATGCAGGCAGGGTTCATCCTCAAACGCATTGTGCCAGGCAATCCAGGCCTTATTTATAAACATTGTAAATTATACGATATAAGAGCTGGGGCCAACAAACAGCGATAGCTCTGCTCAGCCTGTCGATGACATAACCCGACCCGATGCGGTCTCGTCCAGGCCAGTCCAAGCCGCGACTGGATACGCTGTGCATTGAACTGTGCCCGTGATTCGCTGTCGTGGACACCAAATTGAGCTGTTCGACTGCTGTGTTGCTGCCACTTGTGGCGAATCTTGACGCTGACCTTGACATGCGTCTCGCTTTTGGCGCACTGCGTTATCCTTGAGGCGGCTAAAAATGTCTCAAAGCGTTGCGCCACGTCGCACCGCATAACGTTCGCGAATTCAATGAAACTCATCGCCGCGGGCTGTGCGTAGAACGTGCCGTGTGGCAAGTGCTGCTGGCAACAACCTTGACCGTCATTCAACAAGTATACGAAAAAGGCCTTTCGGCTAGTCAGCCATACGACGACAGGCAATGAGAAATTGGACTGCGACTGTTCACATGGCGTATGCGCAATATATTCACTTCCGGCACTCGAACAAAGGTTGCGCCTTTTTGTTTTGACTTGTCATGTGCGAGGGTTTTTCATTTATCTTCAAGTTCAATAGTTAAGAGCAATATCTACCTGCTTGTTGGCAAACAAAGAAAAGTGCGTAGAAATTTCCGCTAAACAACATTAAAATTCACATTTAGTTCGTTTTATTTGCAGCCAATGTGCGTATTTGTTGTATTTATTTCAATCTCAATTGCATAAACAATTCTCGTCGGGTCTGACCTCAACACGTTCTCTCTCTAGCCAAATAAAAATAAATTCACAAATATCGTACAGTCATCAAATAAATAAATTACGATTTTACACTGATGTTCAGTGTATTATTAACATAATTCAGATATTTCCCAATTTGTGTTTCAAATAGAATAACATTTTTCTGGGTGCCATGATTTCTAATCGAATCGGTCTTATGTAATATATACAAATTTTAAGCATATGTGAGCTTGGCTTCGTTTTTTACTATACTTTTAGATTTTAAAATAAATAAAATCAGTAAAATCAATTAATAAACAAGTTATATAAATACTTAGATGATCCGATTGCATTGAGTGACACCAAAAGAAGTGCCTCTTGGGATCACAACAATGATTTCGCCAAGATAGACTTTCTTTCCTGAAAGTAACAAAAGGAAGTTGGAGATCTATAAAAAGATTGGCATTAATTAATGATATTGATATATTCGTACTTGCATATCCTGAGTGTCGTGTGGTAAGCAATTCCCATGGATCAGAGCTATTAACTGGCCAGAGGACACGCAAATCGTCCTGATTATGTTTGCTGTTTTCCTGCGGACCACAAATGAAATTATACATTGGATTCTGACACCAGATTGCATGAATATGAATTGTTGAATGAAAATCTGAAAGTCGTTTTGAGTGATGTCGTTTTGGAACGTCATATCTCCGCGCGAAATTCTGTCGTTTTGGAACGTCATATCTCCGCGGGGAGCTATTACCCGAGATATTAAAAAATATCATCGAAAAAGTTTCGATTTTCGCACCGATCTCGATTTTGAAAAAAATCGTGATGATTTGTCGTTTTGGAAGGTCGTATCACCGCGCGGAGTTATGTCGTTTTGGAACGTCATATCTCCGCGCGAAGTTCTGTCGTTTTGGAACGTCATATTTCCCCGCGGAGCTCTGTCGTTTTGGAACGTCATATCTCCGCGCGAAATTCTGTCGTTTTGGAACGACATACCTCCGCGCGGAGTTCTGTCGTTTTGGAACGTCATATCTCCGCACGGAGCTATTACCGAGAAATTAAAATATAGCATCGAAAAAGTTTCGATTTTCGCACAAACCTCGATTTTGAAAAAAAACGTGATGATTTGGAAGGTCATATCTCCGCGGGGAGTTATGTCGTTTTGGAACGTCATATCTCCACGCGGAGCTATGTCGTTTTGAAACGTCATATCTCCGCACCAGCTATTACCCGAGATATTAAAAAAAATCATCGAAAAAGTTTCGATTTTCGCACAAACCTCGATTTTGAAAAAAATCGTGATGATGTGGAAGGTCATATCTCCGCGGGGAGTTATGTCGTTTTGGAACGTCATATCTCCGCGGGGAGTTATGTCGTTTTGGAACGTCATATCTCCGCGCGAAATTCTGCCGTTTTGGAACGAAATATCTCCGCGCGGAGTTCTGTCGTTTTGGAACGTCATATCTCCGCAAGGAGCTATTACCGAGAAATTAAAAAATAGCATCGAAAAAGTTTCGATTTTCGCACAAACCTCGATTTTGAAAAAAATCGTGATGATTTGGAAGGTCATATCTCCGCGGGGAGTTATGTCGTTTTGGAACGTCATATCTTCCCGAGGAGTTATGTCGTTTTGGAACGTCATATCTCCCCGCGGAGTTATGTCGTTTTGGAACGTCATATCTCCGCGCGAAATTCTGTCGTTTTGGAACGTCATATCTCCGCGGGGAGCTATTACCCGAGATATTAAAAAATAGTATCGAAAATGTTTCGATTTTCGCACAAGCCTCGATTTTGAAAAAAATCGTGATGATGTGGAAGGTCATATCTCCGCGGGGAGTTATGTCGTTTTGGAACGTCATATCTCCGCGGGGAGCTATGTCGTTTTGGAACGTCATATCTCCGCGCCAGCTATTACCCGAGATATTAAAAAAAAAAATCAAAAAATGTTCGATTTTCGCACAAACCTCGATTTTGAAAAAAATCGTGATGATGTGGAAGGTCATATCTCCGCGGGGAGTTATGTCGTTTTGGAACGTCATATTTCCCCGCGGAGCTCTGTCGTTTTTGGAACGTCATATCTCCGCGCCAGCTATTACCCGAGATATTAAAAAAAAAAAATCAAAAAATTTTCGATTTTCGCACAAACCTCGATTTTGAAAAAAATCGTGATGATGTGGAAGGTCATATCTCCGCGGGGAGTTATGTCGTTTTGGAACGTCATATTTCCCCGCGGAGCTCTGTCGTTTTTGGAACGTCA